AGAGTATCAGAAATCTTAGTCAGAGGAAACTGTTGTATTTTTTATTATCAAATAGTACACAAATACACAAGTAATTGATACATTTAACATTGTATTTGTGTTATGAATGAGTTCCAACTAAATTTACATTAATTTTAAAGGAATAATGAAGAAATTTGGTTAAGAATTGAGTAAGATACAGAGGAAAGTGTGTGCTCACTGTATGAGACAGTGAGCTCAAGGTGTAGCAGGTGGGGAGGGCACAGTTGCCATATAGGGCACTCAGCATACTTATTTTATTTTATTTTATTTTCACTTAGAATTTTTTTTACTATTTAAGTCTAGTATTAAGTACAGTTAGGGAGAAAAGCTCAAAAGGTACCTAATTAGAGGGACTACAAGGGTCTTGTACGCTCTCTAATTAGGCCCCTTACAGTATGTCCCTCAGGTGGGGAAGATCGTAGCTTCGGGGCTTCTTGATCAAGTAGATTAGCCAGCGGTTTTGCCTGTCCGAAATCCGAAGCGCCAGTCAGATATTGAAATAAGTCAAGCCACTATCATTCTTCTGTGAAAGTCACAGAGGCAGCACAAGGGCGAATGACAGTACGTATCCAGAGACAGCCTGCTACGTAAAGAACCTCTAGGCTTCTTGATTCGATTGGCCGATTCGTCCGTTCGAAAACTGAAACGTCGCTCAAGTATTGAAGCGAGCCACTATCATTCTTCCGTGCATGAAAGTCTCACCTGAGTGTACACGAGACGCGTACACTGAGCAAAGATAACATAGGTGTGGTAAGTAGCGAGAGACAGTCTTAGGCGGAACAACCGGTAAGTACGTACACTTGCTAAGTTCCCCAAGCACTGAAGTAACGCTGAACATCACAAGACATGTGAGAGCAACAGAGAACGATCCTAACAGGTTTAGTGCAAGTCCCACAGGAGTTTGCTGGGGTTATCTATATGTATGATAACGAGACATACACAAAAAGCGGAAGAGTCGGAAGAGAGGAACCTGGAAGAAGAGACTGGGAGCCGTCTTGTCACCGTCCAGCTAGTTAGTCGGTTGATGCCGTCGCCACACGCGCGCATCACCGACCAAGTCAAGTGAATAAAACACTGCCTGTGTAGAAACAGTGAAACCCGGACAACTAACAAGACAGCATACTGTACGGATCGATAGGAGTGATAATGATTTGAATGGGTGAACGTGTATATGGAACAGGGTAGACTCGTGTATGTGCCGCGAATAAAAAATTGTCGGTCACTCAAACATTCAGATTCAGACTCGGACTCAGAAAAAAAGTAAGGAGAGCCAAGAGAGAGGTCAGCATCAGCAGTCTCGATAGTCTGGAATCTAGAACCGTCGGGGGACTGAAATTCTTGAGAGATCGAGATCCTCCCCACGTGAATACGTCGTTCGTGATGCACAGGGACCCCTCCGTAAAGTAAAATCAGGTACGCATACACCCAGCATGCAGGTGAAAAAACGGGAATTGACTGGAAAAAATGGGCTGAGAATGTAGGAAAATGACGTTGTTTTTTAACACTGATATTGATGTTCACTATTACCCTATTACCCTACTACCACCATCTGCTAGCCCTGATAACTGATATATGCGTATGACCTATGCCTAAAATCATCGAGTTGTGTCATCGATGAACGGAAAACGCTCGATGCGGGGAGTGAGAAAAGAAAAACTTTAAAAAGAAGAGCGGAGTGAAGGTGAAGTCAGAGTCTAATCGAGACTCTGTGTATAGACCCACGGACCATAGACCGTAGTCTGTAGAGCACGCTCCCCTCTTTTCCTCGTCCGGTGAGGCGAAAAATTTGACATGCGACGGGTGCTATTCTGTGTCCTGATTGCCTGTCACCCGAGTCAACCGAACGAGCACGTCTCCATGGCTGAAGAGGGCGGGCGGCGTGCACGACTATGTCGCGGGTGTACAACACGGCGCATTACTATAGCTGATTAGTGTTTCCGTTAGACAAAATGAACACACAGTAGAGAATGAGGAAGCGTAATATGTAGAGACGCACCATCTAGCTTATTTAAAGATTTAAAGACAACAATTCCCAAAACTTAAAGAAACCCGAGCGAGCCAAAGAAACCAAAAGCAAAAGCGAGAGATCTTTGAGAGAAGAGAATGAAAAAGGAATGAAATGTAAGAAAGAAAAGAAAAGGAAAGAAAAGAAAAGAAAAAGGTAAGGTGAATAAAGATATCCAACGCAACACGACGACTTTCTCGTGTATATTATAAGTCGCCATTAGTCGCCAACAACTCTCCCCAGAATCGTCCCATCCCATCCATTACTAAGTAGCACGTATTCACCGATTTTGACGTCAGACACGCGTATGATGCCTTCTTTCATCATCCCGCGTTCGAGGAGGTATCGTCGTACGGTTCCGGGTAGGCCGCCTGAGCGATCTGGTGGGGTCACCCATCCGCCAACGCCGACGCCAAAGGAGGGGTCGTTTGCGTCACCACCACGCCAAAAGGCAACGTTCCGTACACTACCCTCCATAATCTCCCCTCTTTCGTTATACAACAACACCTCGCGTAACTCCCGGCGGTCCTTTATACCGCGTCGGGCACGCGCGGCGTCGTAGTGCGCTCGAGCGGTGGTTTTGAAAGAGGTAAATGCGGAGGTGGGTGTGGGTTGTGTGTCGAGTTGGACTGTGAAGATTGGTGTGGGGAGGCGGGAGGTGGGTGTTGTGAGTGGGTTTATGGAGGCTGCGAGGAGGGGATCTCGAGTTAAGGGACGGGTTGGGTGGGCTTCGACGCGGATATCGCCTGTTATTGAGAGGAGGACACGAAGCTGCAAGTGTGCAAAGCAAGTCTCAGTCAGAGACAATGTATATACGTGTAAGACAAAGAGTTGTACTCACACCAAGACCTTTCTCCTTGTCCGGAAGTACACAGTCCATAACCGCCTGATCACACATATGTCTAATCCTCGCAGACGCGCCAGGCGCCTGGACAGCATCCAGCGCGCGGTACCAACCAAAATGCAAAGCAGCTGCGACGAGTCGTTCAATGTGATAGTTGAAGAAGAGGTAAGGGGTTTCGATTTTGTTGACTGCTGTGTTCCAGGGAGAGGTGAGGAGTTTTGGGTCGTAGCGGAAGGAGGTGAAGAGGTCAAAGTCAGTTGTTGAGACTGGCATTGTTGGCGACGCTGACGCTGAGGACGCGTGCACTGGCGCTGAAGAGCCGGGGGAGGAGCCGTCGAGCGTCGTTTTGGTGTTGTTTGACGCGGGGTATAGTGGACGGGAGTGAGGAACAGATTTGAGTTAGAGGAGGAGGAGGAGAAGGACGCGAGAGGAAGAGGGAGGAGGACTATGAATATATTTTAATATAATAATGCTACATTGCTCGCATCTGGGACCTATACTAGGAAATATACCATACCATACCATACCATCTGATCAGCACATTTCCGGGGCCATCGCAATCCTCATATCACTCTCTCAACGACCGATATTCATTCATACTCATCTCATTGCATCCATCACATATCCCGCTACTCCCCTAAGGGGCACTCTCCCTCTAGGGTCTGTCTCATTGCCTGCCAGAAAATATTGGATGCGTGATATAAGAAATATTAGTGTCCGGATGAGAGCCCATAGATAGGACGAATAGGCCTTGGATGAGTCTCGAACACGAGCGTGCCATATGGCTCTCTGCGTGTTTGAAAATTGAGACTAAGTGGGGAGAGGTGTGCTTGGCTTCCCCCTTCTGGTCTATCCGTCTTCCCTGTCCACGTTCCTCTCCTCGGCGGATTGTGCAAACAAAGAATAATCTCCCGACCTCACTTGATGCAAATGCACTTGGTCCGGTTTTCTATACTTTTCTTTCTTTAACATCGCAATCACCGCGCTGACCGCAGCAGTGCGGCCCATTTCGTATTTACTCATACATAAAGACAACCCTCGAATTGGACCCGTGCTCACGCTAAACATTGAAACAACCCTGCTTCCAATTAACCCATTCTTACAGCGGTCAGTCATATCGCATTTATCACACCGGGACGCTCGACGTAAAATATGAGTAAGTAAGCAGACATGCAGACATGTGCGTTATCCGTAATTTCTTCGTTTGTGAAAAAACACTGTACTCGGGGTTCTAGACTTGACCTTCATAGATCTCGAATTTTAGATACGATATTACCTCGCCGACGTCCTCGAAACGGAGCGGTATCGTGCGAACATCCGTACCTTTTCTCATTTTCTCGGTCTCGTCACCCTCGTGCTCGTGCGTTAAATGTACCCCGGTCGTGAAGAGACGGGGGAAAAGGTACAAACAGAAATATTTCGTCTCGGGGGTAAGTGATAACTCAAACACGCTAAACGAGCCACGAGTCCATGAGTCGTCAGGACGTATATCTTTATATCAAGGAATCAAGGATCCTTAGCAAATCAGACGCATATATGTACTAGTTTTGTCGATGGCGGGGCACGACTGGTATGGGAAGTATATTGGAGGAGGGGAGGCTTGGATGCCAAGCTGGTCCGAGATCCGACTGTTCCCCGCTGCTGCGTCCCTTTTTACTGACTTGTGAGATTAGATACATTCGATCTTGACTCCGGTTGGACGGGTCGCGTAGCTACGTTCCTGGCAGTCCAGTTACCAGTTATGAGTTATGAGAGTTGCCCAATGATCCAATGACCTCGGGACGATGGGGACGGTGTAACGATGCAACGTCATTTTTTCCTGTGGGCAGAGAGGAATGCAAAGTTTTTTGCTTTCTTTCCCTTTGCACCGACTCGGAATAGACATTCTTGGCTCGGGAGTCGCACTTTGCCCTTTTCTTACGTTCCTTATTACTGTTGCTGCCGCTCGTTTCTCTAATTTGACGAGGCGGTGAGTCACCCTCGGATTTCTCGGGACGTGAATGAGGCTTTAACAACTTGGTAGGCATATGCATACGTGTATGCGCACGTTCCTCTGTTCCTTTGTCCGCCTGCATAAGTTTAATACCGCTGAGAATGCGTTCCTTAACTGTGCAAATGAATGTCTCTTTCGACCCTAGCTCTGAGTCAATGCCTTGCATTACACGTTATTAGTGTCGCATTCCTCGGTTTTTCGCGTTTCTCCGAGGTTGTCTAACCTAGCTGTTCAGTGGCTCGGCAGCTGCGCAGCGGGTGACGTTGATAAATAGAAGCCTGAGTGCGGAACCTCACACGTCTTCGTCTATTCTAACTAAGTATTTGATTGGTAACGGTCATAACAACTTCACGCGTATTAACCTACCTTTGTGTGTTTTACATGCACAGCAGTTTTATATAACGAGACAGGAGGCGTGGGTTACGGTCCTTGAACTGCGAAATGACACTCCTCTGACCCTGAGAGGCTTAAGCTTGTATCAATGCTAGTAACTTTGTGAACTTTGTGTAATTAAATTTCCTACCTCTCTTTCAATCTCAATCTCGCGGTTTCCCGGCTGGCGGTTTATTTCTAATTCTAATTCTAATCAATCCTCCTCATTTGTTCTGTCTTCTATGCTGCGCAGCAATGAAACCGGGGGCGGGGAGTGGGTGGATTCTTGATGCGGAGTCTTCGCACTACTATTTGTTTAGCTCAGTAGTAACCATTAACTACTAGTACTCATATTCGGTATATACATCTAAACGGATGGATCATGATGGCAAGTATTCGAAGTTGTCGTTTTCGGTCGGACTCTCGGCCTCAATACGCTTTTCTCCGCTCCTTTCTACCTACCCCCTTTGAACGAACTAGAATCCGGGGAAATAGGGTCACTTCGTGTACTGCTGATATGAAGTCGAGATTGTTGAGATTGTGGATTTGTATGTATGTTAGATTCGATTGATGGAATGGAACAACATATGAGCATCTAAACATACGTGCACTGCATTAGTCTTAGAAAGCCAAGCCTAGATGCTCATATAGGCTTTCAGTATACACGCACCAAGAGGCTGGATATTTGAGTGATTGGGCGAATGAATAGGCTATGGATAGCTCTGTGGGAGCCGTGTTTCGTGTGAGTCTATGCAACCTCTGGTCTCAATATGTTTGTGTATTGAGTTTGATAGGCTTGGAACGAATAGCATACTGATTTGATGGTCTTAATGTGGTATACTAAAGAAGCTTACCTCTTGACATTAATAACTGTAACACTAACCATGCATTACACCTGTACAAGGTAGACATACATTATTACAATATGAAATGCATTTATCTGTACATTACATGCCAAAACCTATTCTGACTCAGAAGCAGATCTTAGAATAGACAATACAAATAGGTTATTCAGAATATTCTCTACTTGTCTCCTTGTAGTGTTCCTAAAGCTAGTCCTCAAACATCTTAGGACTAGTACTATGAGTCAATACTGTACTCATTCATTATGTGTTTATTCACATTCTTTCTAGTCTAAATTATTACTCTTCTAAAACTTTAATAGTAATACATATTAAATAATCCTTATGGATTTCCAAACCCTACCATTCCAACCTATACTTGAGCTACTAACCAAGCCTAATGTTCACCAATCAGGACAATTGGTTTTAGAGGAGGAGTGATGTTACAACTCTCTACTCTCTTACCTTCAGTTCTAAGGGTTCTACACCCTTCTGTACTAGAACTCAGGACTTCTATCTCTTAGAGACACTGTCTATAAACTATATACATACTGACTCTTACTACTACCCTTCCTTACTTCATCATTCTATTCCTTTGACCACTCCTTCATTCTCTGTTCATTCTATAGTCTCTTACCCTTTATCCATCCCTTCATTCTTTGTACCTTTATCTTTAACATTCCTTTCTTTCATTCTTTGTAGCTTATTATTCTTAGTAGCTCATACTCCCTGAGTACTCTTGTGTAGTTTAGTATATATAGGCATACAAGATCAGACTAGTCCTGTAGTCTTGATCTTGTCTACTCTAGGTAGTCCTGTACTCTTAGACTCACTCTATATACTCTACTCTTGTCTCACTCTCTCTCTCTGCCTGTTCTACAAGTTCTGACTATGTTCTAGTGTTTGCATTCTGTATTTCTGTTGTGTAGGATAGTTGTAGCCTGAGTCCCCTTACTGAGCCTTCAGGTCCCCTCTATACTGTTACTGACACTTAGTTTCTTCAGAAATATGAGGAAGAGAAAGTTGATTTCTGAGTAACTCACTTTACTAGACAAGATCAGATCCCTTGATAGATTAAATGTACAATGTTCCTAACCATCTTGAGTGCTATACAGTCCTAAATCATGATAGAGTGTTTAATTAATACTATAGAAGGAAAATAGGAAATAAGATTGTTAATAATATATCTACTTTAATAATATCTTAAAGTATACTAACTAGAATGTTATACACTCTCAGCATCCTAAGAAAGTACAGTTACAATAATCCTAACCAGACTATAATACTCTGCTCAAAGGTTAATCAGTATCTTTAGGGTAAGAATTGTTATAATTATAATTATATAGAGTTGATACAGAGTACCTGGATGAAGTTAATAAAAGTCTTGGATTGTCTTAACAGTATGGGTGAGATTCTTAGCAGGTTCCTAAGTGTGTTCTTTAACTAGGTATCCCTTCTAGTAGATAAGGAACTTGAGCTTTCTGTACACTAGCTTAGCATCTACTACATACTCTACTTTGTATTCTGGTTCAGAACTGATAAGTTCTGGTAGAGGTGGTAAGGGTCTTTGTTGTGAAGGAAAACCTAGATTATAGTACTAAGACAGTAGAACCTTGTTGAATACTAGGTGTATGTACTTTCATGTTGCTAGAAGTTAGAGTTTGTAGGTAAAGGTACTGACCTTCTTTTTAATAACAAAGGGTCTGAAGTGCTTGTTGTCTAACTTCTTTATTAAGTAATCTGTGGTCAGGTTAGTAGCTTCTAGTATAACTTTGTTACTAGGCTAGTAATCCTTAGCTATAGACCTCTTCTAATCATAGTTCTACTTTATAACCTGTACTACCTTTTCTAAAAGAGCTTGTGTGTCCTCCCTGGTTCTGTACATCTGTTCTACAAAGTCTGTTACAGATTCAGAACTGTTATTCTGGTTCAGAACTGTCCCTTAGTACAGATGTCTTTTATGATTGAGGAAGAATGGGGACTGTCCTGTTACAGAGTGTTACTAGTTATTGTGCACAAATTCTGTCAGAGCTAACCATTCAGACTAATCTGATTACTAATAATTA